AGAATCTATGCAATTGCACAATCAAAAAATATGTTGGTGGAAGAGGCTTATGTGAGGAATAATGACAGATGTATCTGGTCCGTTAATGTTTGTAGAAATTTGAATGATCGGGAAGGAGAGGCGTATGTTAACCTGCTGAAGAACATATCTGATTTTCAAATTTGCAGTGATCCGGATCAGGTGCTATGGAGGGGGTGCAAAAATGGTGAGTTTTCGGTGAGCTCTTATTATAACAAGCTGATGAGTCATACAAAGTGTAGTTCTTCCAGATTTCCCAACACTTTAATCGGGAAAAACTCTGCGTCCCTGAGGATGGCTTTCTTGCTTGGGAGGCCTATAGGGAAAGCATTTTAACCTTAGACAAATTGAAGGTCAGGGGATGTACTTTGGTGAATGGTTGTTTTATGTGTTTGAAAACTGAGGAAGGTTGTCGTCACCTTCTGCTTAGGTGCCCTACTGCCTATGAACTCTGCAGCTTGGTGTATGGCTTGGTAGGAATCTGCTGGGTACAGGTTGGTTAGATTGAGGAGAAGATTTGGACCTGGGGTGGGGCAGGACTGAAAACTGAAATTGCAAGGCTCGTCCCCTTGTCTGTTTTTTTGGGGTTATTTGGAAGGAAAGAAATTTAAGAGCGTTTGAGAGGATTGTGAATAATATTAGTAAACTAAGAGAGAGATGGCTTAAATACTTCGTTTGTCTTATGTTGGGCATGATATCATTAAGGTTGAAGATTTTGGGAATGTCATTGACTCACTAACAAATTTGTAAATCTTTTGTAAAGGAGTGGTGCTCCCTCTTCTTTGGTACATTTCTAATACAAATGTTATACTTTTTTTTAAAAAAAATATTTAATATTATTAATTTTAATAAATAACTTTTTATTGTTACACAATTTTTTTATCATTTTAACATTCATTTCTAATTTTATAACACGATTAGTCAAACATAGCGGCATATTGAATGCCCTTTTACAAATGAATTTTATAAAACGCTATATTGCTTTCATCCTAAAGATCCTTTTGCTGCATCATATTTTGAACCACTGTCTCGCTAATGCACAGCAGAACCACCAGTGGGGTCAACTGAAATTCCTTTGACGGATCAATCAAATGTTTTAGCATCTTGCTTGTGTTATAAAGTTTTGGTTTCATATGAGAGGGGCCAAGTGGCTAATCTGTTAAAGGGTAGATGGAGGAAGAATGGGAATGTGATGTTATCCTGGGCTATTCGAGCAGATGAAAATTTGAAAACTTCCTAGTAACTGGTCCAGAAGTTTCATGGTCTGGTTAGTTGGAGTGTTTTGTGTCCTTTTGATTTGTTGATGTTTGAAGGAGAAAATATGGCTAAGAGAGTTTATTGATGGTTGTTGCTGAACGGGGAGAAGGCGGTGCAGGGATACTGTCTGTTGTATAAGAGGACAATGAAAGGAGCTCTATCAGCCTTAATGGCACAAATAGATCACTTTGAGGGCTTTGATTGGGCAATGAGGAGGTAATTGAACGTTCGGGTTTGATGCCAAATGTTTTGATGATTTGGCCATGTAGCTCTTTCAGGCATAAAGTCTCATAATATCAAAAGGGAAAGGACCCTGAAGCTGCATTTGAAAAAGAAAGTTGGTGAGCATATGCTAGGGAGTTAAGTGTTTGAGTATTTCCTGACCAAGTGGGACCAATGTGTTATTTCAGAATCATGTTGAAGGATTTCAAAATAGCCTTTGTACAGGTAGGAGCTAGGACTAATAAGGAAAATATCAAAATAGTAAAAGAGAACATCAAAGTTTTAAATTCTAATGGAACTTAGAATTTGAAACAAACTGAATGTTATCACATATTTTAAATAATAATAATTTAGAAAACTTCCATACAGCTAAATATATTCTAGTGCGGGATCTGTTCATTTTGTGTCACTTTCTCTTTCTTTTCTTTCCTTTAAATGATAATTCTTGTTACCCATCTTTCATGCAGTGCAGGAGGAATGGCATTGTCAAGTTTAGTGCCTGCTACTGTTAATTCAATCTCTTTGCTGGCTAAAACTTCAATTGCTGGGTTACAAATTTGGTCTTTGCATGGACTTCTTTTGACCGTCGAATCAGCTGGCTTGTCCTTTGTATCTCATGTCCAGGTAATGAGATTCTTGGTTATTAATTTGTTTTAGTAAATAATTCATTTAATGTAAGCTGCAGTTGTAACCTTTTTAAATTTTCAGAAGCAAAGTCATTGACATTTTCGAGCAACCACATGAATTATTGAATTTGAGGAAATTTACTTTCTCTTGCATTGTCTTAGTCATATTTAAGAATTTTCTTTTCGGATCTGATGTTGTAGATTGAACTTCAAAAGAAGTGATGTCAAATTTGCATATATTAAAAATATGCAATTTTTTTATTTATTTGTTTTCTGCACATTTGCATATTAGTGTACTTGTGTGTCTTGCTAAGACTAAAATATGGTGATACTTTGATAAGATCCTTAACATGTTTAAACTCATAAATGATCTTTCTGCTTGGTCTGGAATTAGTTAACTTCTTCAAACTTAGGAAATTTTTTAGATTGCAGGAATAGTGGAAATTTTTTAGAATGCAGGAATATTTTGATTGGGAAGAATGTTTTTTTTTTCTGATGAATATTGAGTGGGAAGAAAGCTGAATGAAGTAGTGTTCGAAAAAAATAACTAAGGATAGCTTATGATGCAGGTGTACTCTGAACATTTACATTTGGTTTATTGTTTTTACTTTTGTCGTCTCTACTGAACTTCAATTTTCATGCTCATTGTCCATGTTAGCTTTAGTTCTTCTTTACATGCTTTTAGCTGAGTGCAACTGAATTTAGTTGTAACTTTGTTCTAGAGAATAAAATGCTTGATAGTTTCATTGATGTTGGTAGACTCTAAACTAATTAAGTTTAGATTCTTACGTTGTTGTTAACATTCTCCTTTTGTTTGTTTTGTTAGGCAACACTTGGTCTTGCCATGGACATTCTATTGTCTGAGGAAAGCGGATGGGTTGATCTTCAGCAAGGAGTAGGGCGCCTAATTAA